TCTGCTGTGATATTTGGTTAACTGTAAATGGAAAGTCCAAAGTCTTGTTATATACATTAATTCTTATAACAAATATCAGCCTTAATATATGCAGTTGCCATTACGAAATTCTACCTCAAGATCTAGGAAACTGACTTTTGTCCAAAAGTATGCAGTCTTAAACTCAAGATTAGATTCATGAATGTTATTAGATACATTAACAAAAACAGGAAAATTAATAACAAAGATATCATCAATATACTGGAGAAAATACATGTAAATATTAGGATTTTTTTCGTAAAAAATGGTACTCCATATCTAATAAAGTTAAATCTGCAATGTCAAGACTGGCATTTCCACTCACTGTTTTACCAAGTGCGTCTATCGATAAAAACCATTCAGCTGATAAACTAGTTGCAAGACGGAACTAATATCAGTATTACCAGCAAGCTAACTAGTTAATGGTCAAAATAAGTGAAAAAATTGCCGGACTGATGCAAGTATGGCTGGGTTTGCTGACTTTTCCGATTTTTTTTTTTGACTTAAACTTTTGATTTTGAATCTTTCATTCTCCAACTTTGATAATGCCTCGTTAATGTTACAACTGTACACTGTCAGTGCAACAATCAATCAACTTGCAGCTCCTTCATTTTTTTTCGATGGCAAATTGTTACCTGCGCAAGTCAGGAAGACAAATCACCATCGGCCTGTTACTAAGTCTTGAAGGAAGAAATCGGTAGTTTTTGCCAGAGAATAGTCGCTGCCAGTACGTAACTGTTACCACTAGGGCTATTATTTCTGGGTTTCTTCACCTTCCATCAAAAATGTTTTAGGGCGGGGTTGGTTCCCACACCGGTGAGAGGAAAAAATAACAAAGACGTACAGAAAAAGATGAATGTTAATTCAAAAAAGTGATTTTAAAAAAAAAGTGGACCCCGTGAAATTGCTCTAGTTTTGGCGCATAATTTAAACAAATTCTGCTCGTGAAGTGAGTATAATTGGTAACGGAACAGTGGCAAATATACGTGAAAATCGTTCAACAGCATCTTTTGTTGGAATGACGTAGAAAACGTCCGCTTCACATGATCCTGAAGAAAAAAAAAACTAGAATTATAACCAGGATTGAAGAGTAGCATTTTCCTAAACGAATATAGTAAGGCAACAACTAACCAGAGTCAAATGGAGATTTTTTTCGGAATGGTTCTGAAGCAGATTTTCGAACAGAAAGGCATCCGGCCATCTCCAAAACTCGGACCAGCTCAACAAGCAAACGTGGTTGCAGTACATAGGCAAAACTCAGCTTGAGATCATCGATTGTGCAGCCAGGACGAGTTATCACCGAAAACAATATACCCTCTGCCATCCACCTAAAAATTAGCACACAGTCCAGCAAATATCTGTCTTTATCAACCGGTTTTCTGGCTTCAACAAATCAAACTCACTCCAGTACTTTGGTCAACTGTTGTTTCATCTCCATTCATCTCTATTTAACGCACCTCTTTTATTCATACAGTTTCGTATAGCCGTCTAAAATAACCCCGCTACTTCTTTACTGGCAGCCTGATAGTGTTGGAAAAGACGAACTATAAATTGTAATGATTTCTGTGTGAACGACTTTGAATCTTCGATAACTCGCATTAAAACTGAATTGTTTCACTGGTTTGAAACAATTCGAAATACACCCATGTACTTTACTGAATCGCACGCATTTCTTCGTAATCGACCTATATTCACATAAAACTACAGAAATGGAAAGGCAGAATTTTTCAGGAAAATGACTAGCCAAAAATTTCCAGAAAAACAAAAATTTTGGTACTTTTTTGGGAGAACACAGCGAAAACTTTTTTTTCCTCTGCTCAAAAAACGACTATGTCAGAAAAAATGGGAAAAAAGATGTTGGCAGTGATACTGGAATGTTCGTATATAGTTTACCCAAACTATACGAGTAAATTCATTCCATAACTAGTATTTGGAAAAAGGGGGAGGGGAAATTATGATTTTTGCAATAATCGTACATAGCTGAGTCTATGTACTTTAGTAAGAATAAATAGCGGCACGCACACGCGTAGCCGGTGCGATCATGCATTTTGCGCAGTTCTGTGCAGCGGTA